GAAATGTGGGTTTGGGGATGGGTTTGAAAATGAAACTGATGAAGTTGATGTGATTGTTGATTTTGGGGGAGTTGAGAAATGGTGGATTTTGCCCTTGTTTTGGTGGGTTGGTGGAAAGTGGAAATGTCGGATTTTATGGAAAGATGCCCTTAAATTTGGGGTTGGTCTCAAACATCAATATGGAAAATTGGCGAGAGTTTAACATTATTTTATTAATTACTTAAATGAAAAACGACCACGCCTTGAAGTCGCCGAGGGATGTGCCTTCTGAAACGGACAGGATGGACGCAGGGTTGGAGGGGTTGTTGATGTGTAGCATCAACCAGCATCATACAGGGTATCATTCAGTATCATCTTAAAGCGGACGGCGAAGCCTTGTAAATAAAAATGGCACGTTGCTCGCCTATGGTATTGGTGGGTATGCGTAATCATCAGCCCCCTTTCGCTCCCCACCACCATAGATGAGCAACAAAGCGTGCCTTTGTGGGGTTTTCCAGTTCAAATACCGCCGACGCCTGCCTGTGTGTTTCCTACGTTGGACACCTATTGCCTTTGATGGGGTGTTTAGTGCGATACTCCATTGGAAAGATGCCTTTAAAAGGGAAGGGGCAGCGGAAACAAGTTTGTCACCTTTCCGGAGTAAGCACCCTGTTAAGGAAGGGGTTAAGCAAAAATGGACAAGACCCTGAACCCTTTGAAGTGCCAGACGAGTAGGGCTCGTCATCAACCTGGCGAGTGCTGGAATGTCAACGAAAGCGAAGATGCCAGATGCTAAATGAAACACTGAAACACACCTTTTGTTCCCACCTCTCCACATCGGTGCCACCACAAATCCAAAAGAAGCGGACTGCTCCACAGTCCAAATGGTGAGCCGATGATACAGGCGAAGTCATCTGTTTGATTTCAAGACTGACATCTGGGAGATGGCAACCCTAACATCTGTAATCTGGGAGATGGCAACCCTAACATCTGGGAGATGGCAACCCTAACATCTGTAATCTGGGAGATGGCAACCCTAACATCTGGGAGATGGCAACCCTAACATCTGGGAGATGACATCGCTGAAAAGAGCAATTTGAGCAATTTGCTCACGAGACCACGCACCCATTACTCACATTGGGTTGCTCAACCTCTGGGACAGCATTCACCGCCATACTCCTGATGCCACGGCGATAATTGATGACTGCCTGAACCTGACCAAGAAGACGACTGTTTCCGTAGATGTAGCTTCCTGATTTCTCCATCGCATACTCCTTCGCATACAACTCCGTAAAGGCGAAGAGAACCTTGGAAATCGTCTGGCGGATGATCGGAACTGCGTTTTCCAAAGCGGAAAGGCTGTCAATCATTATGAAGCCGATGCGGACAATCTTGTCCTCCGTGGATGTCTTTGAAGACTGCTCCAAGATGCCGACCATCTCAGACAGATGGCTGTCTGACAACCTGTCAAGCGACTCCTTGATGATGGACGGGTTCGTCTGCATCATCTGCTTGTACTCCTCCAACTTCTCATTCACCGGCTGAATGAAGGAGCGCAAGGTTGGGGGCATCTCTGGGTTCTCGTCCTCGTCAAAGTCAAACTTATTCTTCATAAGGCTCTGCGACTTCTTTGCCAAAAAGTCCGCACCCTGTTTAATGTTCATCTTGATGACCTGACGAGCACCACCAGCAATGTCAAGAGTGATATTGACAGTGGAGCCATCGCGAAGGCTTGTGCGGGAAATGGTGGAGCGGTTGTGTAGGTTGTGGATTGCCTCATCACCGTGATACATCCTCAACCTTGTCTTGTCCTTCTGTTTCAACTGGGTCAAGGCATTGATGACCTGAAGGATAAAGGAGCCGATAGTAGCCGAGCGTCTGGTGACCACCGTGAAGCGCACATCACCGAAGACACAGTTGATAGTCATATCTGCGTCTGCCTCCTCCTTTTTTGTCTCAGCAATTGCTCGTTTCTGCTCCTCCTTCAACGCTTTTTTTCCTGCTTCTTCTTCTCACGGTTCTCCTTGTCAATCATTGACTTCACCTCCTTGTACTTGTTGATGGCGGACTGAGCCTTCGACTTCAAGGTCTCACACCAAGCCACTTTCTCAGTCAAAGACATAGCAGTAATGCCTGTTGTCAAATCATCCACTTCCTCCTCTGTTTCTTCCTGTTCCTCCTCCTCCTCCTCTTCGTCGAAGTCATCATCAGGATTGATGACGGGAAGGCTGTCCTTGCCGTCGTTGGGGTCATCACCGCCGCTCCCACTTGCCATATTCAATACCACATCTTCCATTGCTGATGTGGTTGTCATTGATGAAGCAAAAGCAAGGGGTAGGATGACTAACTGTCAGCTCAGAAGGGCTGGGACGCTAATCATCCCATTTGAGAAAAAAACACCAAAGTCGTCTTCGCAATTCTTTCACAAAATGCTTACCAATGACAGCACATTACAACCATCTCAATTCGACTGTCCAGCGTCAGAATATCGACAAGACACGGCAGGTGTGCCTTTTGGTTGAAGACGAAGATGTCCGCCAAGAAATGGTCATCAAACGAAGCAAACCACGACAACATCAAGCGAAGCAAACCACGACAAAACACGCCAATTCCCCAGAAAGCCTAAAAATGGTCTGAAACCTGAACCTTGAAAATGTTAAAATGTTAGACTGTTATTAAATGAAAAAATGTATAAAAAATGAGAAATTTTAGAAAAATCCCCACAATCCCCCTTGGTGTTTTGAACAAAACGATAGGCTTGTTGAAAATGAACCCTGAACCCTGAAACCCTACATTGAAAATTCCCTACCCCAGGGCCCCCCTATTAACTATTTTTTCCCCCTCCCCCCTTAAGATAAACACATAAAAAAGTGCCTTGAGCCATTTTACATAAATTCCTTACTCAGCGATTGTGATTTTGACGGGCGTTTGCGAACCGCAAAGTGTGTTCACCCTATTTTGGACAAGGACCGTAGTGTTCTTTTGTCTGGAATTTCTGGGATCCTGTTAAACTGTGAATGAATATGTTTGCCTCCATCCCTGGTCCGCCTGGAAGGGGCATGGGAACTGTCTAAATGTTCCACAGCTTACTCATGTCCAGAGCGAGTGACATGGTGGGTGTTTCTTTGTCGAGGGGAACCCTTTTGGTTGGCTTAGTCGGCTTTTCCAAAAGCTCATGCTAGACAGCCGAAAGGGTTCTTTTCGGGTATCCGGTATCCGCCTGGTTGCCTGGTTCTCACGATCCTGCTGGTCAGTTCATGTCAGTCCCAAGCCAGCTAAAGGAATATCTACAGGAAATTGGCCGAACACCCAACTAAAACAATGTAGCTGGCGTGTTAGATGCGAGTCTCAAACAACATAGTTGTATTTCAGGTACCGAGCAGGTGTAGCTTCATAGTCGCGGCCCAAAGTTTGATGCAGGGTCGGCCCAGAACCCGGGAGTGGTCCAGCCCAGACCGGTCCAGGGCCTAGCCAATACCAGCCGCACTGGGCCGGCCCAAGCCCAGGACCAGGGCCACTGGCTCCCCCGTGATCAAAGACTTTGGGGTTGGCGGATTTGGGGATTTCTCTCGATTGACAATGTCCTGCCCGGTGGACTGCTAGAGTCTGGCCCCCAAAACCTCAGAGGTGATTGCAAAGTTCCCAAGCCCCGCCCCTTGTCCCCCCTGCTCCTCGAGTTCCCGGGCCAAGGAGCCGAGCGCTCCGACGCGCAATGGCGCGCCGCTTTCGGTTTTCGGGGTGAGTTGTATGGCAGGTTCCAGGTGCCACGGCCCTCATAACCCTTTTGGGGTTGGTTCAAAGAGACACAAAAAGGAAAGCCACAAGTCTTAAGGGTCTCCTTCGTTGACACCTTTTTCTTGTCATGCTTTTCGGATGGGAGAGCCAACCTTTTGGCGTTACAAAGATGGGTGTGTTGTGTTTGTTCTGGAAGACGAGCGAGCAAGCGCCCTGGGAACTTGCATATCAGTGGTATTTGCATTGCCATTATTGCCCACTTGTCAATTCCTCCGGGTGTACCTCCATGTTTTTCCCGCAATCCTTGGATCACCGCGAAGCGATGTTGGAAGCGATGTTGCGCTCCAAGGTTCGGGCTTCAGGGAGGTTCATGTTTTTTTTGGGGGGGCGGACATTCAAATGGGTGTATCAAAATTGTGGACCCTCCACTGTACCCCCCCAATGTTGGTTGGTATTTGAAGGGAACGAAAGGAAACCCGCCATTTTGGGGGATCCCTATTTTGAACCCCCCCTCCCACATGAGCGCTTGTTGAGGGCATTCGGTTTGCGCTTGATTTAAAAGGAAGCCTAACAAGAGACCATTCATTTTGGGGGTACACGACAGGCTTCGGTGCCTACCACACACCCTTGCGTGCCAGGCGTTGCTTCTTAGCTTCTGCGGGGAAAAAGCTGGGATCTGCTGAGCGATGCTGGGCGTTATGCTGGCAGAATGTGGCAAGCCAGAGACCCTCAGAGAGCACGCAGCTCGTGCTGACATTTGAGTCGCAATCAAGACCCCGGTAGCTGAAGATTCATAGTAGACAGTCGCAAGAATATGTAGTTGCCCCTATTGATGTTGCTACGTGTGTTGGGTAGAACATACCCTTATCGGGCTTTGATTGTCACTCATGTGTGCATTGTCGCTGCGCCTTGTCGCGATTGGCAAGCTGAATGCTGCTGAGGGGTAGCTCAAAAGGCACCGACTAAGCTTGACACAAAGCGACCAGCTCTTGACATGACGCGGTGGTGAGAAAGCCCATGTGTAGCCATGTCATGAAATGACAACGCAGCTGCCTCACACTGAACCTGACCTAAGACCTTTAAGGGGGACAGCATAGCATGTGAAGCACCTGATGGAGCCCCAAGCGGTCAGGGAAGATTCCTTTTTCCGTTTCTCCCAAGCCGAGCCAGGCCCAAGCAGGATCCTCACCAAAGCGCGCTAGATTTGGGTATTGCGCAATGTGGAACCACTGCAAAGGCTTGGTTTCTCCTTCACGCGTTCCTTCAAAAAGAACATACAAAAACGGGTACCTTGGCGGCTCACCTTGCGGCACCGCTGGATGTCTCCTTGTAGTGTATGCCCATGCGGCAAGGCGCGGCAAGCGAGGGTGCTCTCAGTTGGCTCAAAGGCATGACAATCCTTAGTCTTTTCCTTGGGTGTGGTAGTTCAGCGGGCTCCCCAAAAATTGATCCTTGGGTCCTGTTTGGCAAAACTGCAGTGTTCAAAGGGGTCCCTATCGCAGCTGTGTCGCAAGTGCGGTAGACATGTGTACACATATATAATATATATATATATATGCATATGTATATATATATATATACACATATGTGACACATACGTAGCTGGAACTTGGGGATTGGCCACCCTGCCATTCTTCAGACGCTCTGACTCACCTTCGTTTGAGGTGCAGCATGGCCGGCGCCGTGACTTATCAAGGCCGGGCGTTCGCTGAGCACCGGTCCTCTGGGCCTTGAAGGAAAGCCGACCGGAGATGGCCAACTTGATCTGTTTCGGGGAGGGTGGGACACCAATTTCGGAAGCAAGTGTGTAATTACATACATACATACATACATACATACATACGTACGTACGTACGTACGTACGTACATACATACATACATACATACACTTATACATATACATATACATATACATATACATATATATATATATATATTATTTTGGTAGAACAACAATGTTCTACATGTACAGATGGACTGTTTAGGAAGCTGGTTCTGCTTCACTGAGCCCCATGTTGGACGGGCGCAAATTCCCAGAGCCTTGTTTGATGTCGAACCACCCCTGGCATGTCTTCGTGACAATGCTTTTTTAGCCTGGTCCTTCTTGGGACACTTGTGTGCTTAGCACACGCAAATCCCTTGATTTGACATTCCATTACTTTGGCCCGCGCCTGATTGAGATGGACCCCGTTCGGCGGCCAAAAATTGCGCGCAGCAAGGTCTGGTAGGCGCAGATGACGCCATGCTGGCCAGCATCCCGGACCGGGAGGCACCGCTGCCGGCCATCCGCCAGGCGGGGGAGACAAGTTCCTTGGGTTCCGGTGGTCAGATTCCAGGCCCGGACCACTGGAGGGCTCAGCCACTAACTTGCTGGTGCGAGAGAAATGGAATGACGCCTAGAAAACCGTCCAACTGGTGGTTTCCTTTGAGGGAATCCTAGGTTCCCCTGAAAACAGGCCCCGCAAGAGATCTCTCATGGTGAATCGATTCTTCAAATTAGATTGTGTGTTTTGCTTGTGGGTGGTCTGCTGACATCTTGGATCCCAGTCAAAAGAGTTTTCTGCGGCAAGCCACAGGTGAAAGTCGGACATGCGGAACTCACTAAACCAGGGGACGAGCCCTATTTTTCCCACATGGGTTTGCTTCAACGGGAGCCCTTAAAATGTTTGCTATGTCCTCTTGATGCCCTTTAAATCCACCCAAAAAGGGGTCCACTATTTTGAGAAACACCGAACCTTAGAATGCTCGGTTGCCTTTGGGTGTCGCTTAGACACCAAAAAGGGTACGGTTCCCAGATCTAGATACACAGTAGAGAACCAGCTCACCAACCATGCGTTGGTGGACGGTGAATCCCGATATTATGTTTTAAATGTCAACCCATGTCAACCCTTTTGGGGTCCCACTTGACTCGCGGAATCAGAGCGCATGACCGCAGGGTGCCCACGGCGTTCGGTCCGAAGAGCCAGGGCGCTGCTCCCCGCGCCTCGGGCGAGGGGTTTTGGGATGCACGCGTGTGTGGATAGTCAGTCCCGGACCTGTGGGACATCAGAGTTCGATAATTCATGTCCATGACTAACGGTTAATTAGTCCATAAACCAGGGTTCATACCAGGGCTTCATATATGGATGTATACATTATACATTCAGTCTTAGAGCCCCACTTCTGAAAAGGTGATGTTTTCTGTTTAACGGGACCCGGGCATTTTACACCTACCAACCACTCTTGAGGTTCTGATCCCATCACTATTCATAGCCGTGGCATATGGTCAGGTTCCCTTTAAATGCCAGTTTATTTGTATGGACACCAATCCGGAGTTGGCATCACTCAGAGAGTCGCTTGACCCCCCCCGGCCGGTTGGATCTGGAAGCTGAGGTCTGATGACCTGGTCCTGCGCTCGGTGCCCAGGCCGCTGCCCATCTACTGGCAGGCGGCTGTGAAATTTCGAAGGGATCCCTGGATTTCCCTTTTCGGTGGCCCGCGGTTGGATGGCTGGTTGGCCGGGCCGGCTGGTTCGTTGGTCGGTTGGGTGGTATGTTTGATTATGTTTGTACGTTGGCTGCATCCTCAACATCACCGGCCTCGCTGCAACCTAGGGCTGCCTGTTGGCTTAAGTTTCGTGGCAGTTGAGAGCCCTTGTGAAGGGAGGTGGAATTCGGATGTTTATCGCATGGGACCGTGGGATGGAACGCCGAGAGTATTGAAACCGTCACTCTCCGGACCTCACTTAATCGGAGGTGCGTAGGCCGTTCCAGGAAGCGCCAGGTTTTGGTTGCAATGCTTTTGTCGTTTACCCTCATGTCACTTGGGTGCGTCCCTCATTGGAGTTGGCATCCTTGTTTTCGGGTTGCAACCACCGGGGAAAAAAAAGGCACACGCGCGCCATGGGACCTCCAAGATGGTTTTGCTGCTTTCAACGGCAACTAATTTGAGAACCCCTCCGCTCACAGGAGCCTCGCACCGGCACCAACGAGGCCCAAGGGAGAAAGATTTGTTTGGCCCCCAGGAGGCCTTGAGCTCGTTACTCTTATTGAAACAGACTGGAGGGGGGGAGTTCGACCCCTAGAGATCTCAATTCATACCGCCGATGGGCAAAATACCAGAGTTGGCATGGGTGAAACTTTTTTGTTGGATAAACCACCTAACAGGTGCATGTCGTCCATCCCCAGTTCCATTTTACCTTTTGGATGGGACTCGAGAAATGGTCGCCCCCCCGCCTGACTTTGCGAGCTCAGCACTTGGTTGCGATCCCCATGTCCCAGGGTACCTTTCGCCCCACTCGCAGCAAGAGGATGCGCGCGAAAATTTTCGCGCACGTCGGCCAGGCCTACCCGCACTCCTTTGCCATGAGCCCTCCGCAGTCCTGTGTTTCGGCCTCATGTGCTGCTGATGCTTGGTGTGGCCACGGTGAGGGTTGTTCCAAACGGAAGGGTCCCAAAAATGGCAGGGCCACTTTGTGGACCCTGGTTGAAAACGGATACCTTGGTGTCCCTTTCAGCTTTGGTTTCCATTTCTTTGCTTCCCTTTGCGTCCTTCGTCGTTGCGAAGCGCAGGTCTTGAAATCCCGATGCGAGGCGATCCGCGCGGATCCGCTGATCTCCAGCGGATCCTTGGCCTGGGGCTTGGACGGACCGCTAGAAACCAAAAGGAAAGCCACGAGTCGTTGGGTCAACACGCATTTGGCCATGACCTCGCAATTCCCATCCTTGCTCATGTTTAGGCAAGGCAAGGGGTTAACCTTTTGTTTTCAGGTCTTGTGTCCAGGTCTTGTGCACATGTACTGTAGAGTCTAACTTGCGTAGTTCCAAAAACTTCTCTTGGATGAGGTTCAATGATGTTCGATGGAAACCAAGGAGACCAGGCAAACCAAGACACAATCTGTGGCAAATCCTTACATAAAACGTGAAGTATCTGAACGAAGTCTGCTTGGATGGTCAACCCAGTTAGTGATTAGTAAAAACCATGGTTGTGTCTGGGGTAACTGAGGTTGGTCCCCTTAGAATCTTGGTTACAAGCCACTTCGCAGGCGGGGTGAACACGCAAGTGGAACAGGGATCGCAAACAGCAGCAACACCAATTGGACTCCAATCACCGGAAAAGCAGGCTGTTCCCACATCACTGGATGGCACGGCAAAGTGGCGGCAGGCGCGGGTACTCGTATTTGCCGCATGATTGATTTCTGCCTGAAAACCATCAAAGAGATTGATGCACTGGGCGTTGCTGTCCTGGATTGACTAACTGTCATACTTGATTGAATTACAGGGTTGGGTAACAAGAATGGTTCGACAACCACGCTCCAGTCCCCGTGACAGGGAGGTCACAAGGAGTGTGTTTACACTGTTTGGTGGCTTTAACTGTTCAAACCACAGTTTCAACAACTTTTGTTTCCAAACCCCATTCAGGTTTACAAACCACCCACTGATTTTTAACGCCATTTGAGCCCGTTGCATGGTGAGCGAAGCACATCCTCCAGCGAGGTGAGTCCGAGTCCGAGTCCGATCACCGGCCCCGTCTTCAGCGTGAGATGGTTCCCACGTGAGTTGGGATCGGCGTAGCCAGAGCTTCAGCTTAGGGATCAACGAAGTTGTCCGGGTAAGGGGTCCGTCAGTTTTGGACAAGAGATGCGAGCCGCAATGCAAGCTACATGAAGGGTATTCAGGAGACGGTGCCCTTGCCGCAAAAAATGCGCGAAAAGCCAATTGATTCTGTGTGTGTGTTGGATAGACTCTGGAAAGGTTTTGACAGAACGATGGGAGTTGAAGGATGAAGCCACCCACATAGCCTGTGGTGAGACGAGGCTTGTCTTGTTGTTAGCTGCATCTGCAAACAAGCTGAGGACTTTGTAGATACGGCTTTGCATTTGGGTGCCTTTACACTGTTCCTGCCCAAACCGAGAATCTATGAGGATGACGTCACGCTTGGGCAGTTGAGATTATAGCAACCTTCCTGTTTTTTTTGGGGGGGGTCCATGTTAGTTCATCTGAGCAGAACAAACAATATTAACTGGGGAGCTAAAGAGCCCCAAATGCCCAGAAAAGCATTGAATAGTCGATGGTCAGAGCGCTACCATGGTCCACAAGTCGCGACTGTCGGCATGTCGAGGTGCCACTTGGTACGGCACGTCAGTTGTGATCCCACACACTGGCTGTGCTCCGAGACCAAGCGCCGAGCGCCGAGTTATATGCACCTAGAGTTTCCTTGTTGCAGAATCAACACTTGCCGTCGTTTGGCCAAAGGAACAGGTCGTTCCTTCAAGTGGTGCAGTGTTTGCGTGCAGAAACAGAATCACTGAACGATCCTTCACTTTAGCCTGCAGCAGCGTGGCTCTTGCTAGATTGTTCAAGTTTCTTAATTTCAACATGCTTCGACCGCGTTTGCTACAGCAGAGCCGATTTCTGGACCGATGTTTGAGCCAGCCGGAGCACGACCCAGGTAGAGCCTCACGCTTGCTCTCCGTGTGCTCCTGTCGTCGGGGCGGGTGGCAAGCAGAACGTGGCCGGGAGCAACGCACAGCTTCTTTTGAGACTTCTGGAGCATTTTCCGACACTGTGGTGTCCATTGCCCCGAGAGAGGCCAAAACCGACAACCTTCCTGTAGTGGACGTGCAGTGATTGTACAAACAATTTTACGATGGCTAGTGCACACAGTCTTAGATCTATGATGATGCCTCCTTCAGTGAGGTATCGTGGATGGAATCATGCGACCAGCAGTTCCGGGTTCCGAGTCGGGAAAGAAACACCAGCGGAGGTACAACTGCGACGGCTCCCACGGTCTGGGCAAGTCAGCCTGAGGCAAGCGAGGGCGATTTGTGTCCAACAGTCTGAGTGCTGAATGTTTGGTTCATCTATTAGAGGGGCGAGTCACTGGCGAGAAAGAATTTCTTCGGTCAGCCATGCGTTTGGCATAGGGCCCAAGCCGCAAGAAGCATGCGGCACGTGCGGCCAAGCCAGGCTTCCAGAGCGGTGCATGCGGAGCCCCCGCAGGCCAGCCTCTAGCTGCTCCCATGATGTGCGCATGTGTGTGTTGTTGTTTTTTAGGGACAGACAAGATAGATCGCTGTGTCTTATTATTTTGTTTAGTTTGGGGGGGTGCTGCTCTAAGGCAAAAGGAACATCATTCTTGGGGGTCCCCCATATTTGACACACACACACACACACCAATGGTGACGGTGTCTCGGGGGAGGTCACGCACTGAGGGGGCATTTCACAAAACCTACTTGGCCACGCGACTTTGCCATTCTCAAAATATCTCAAAGTCACCCCTTGAGTGCCCTCCCATCCACATCCACATGACATGGCTTCTGAGGACCTGACTGGGAAGTGGTTTGGACAGTCTTCCTCTAGTGACATTCGATCTGGAGTTGGGACCCGTGCGTCTATGTTGCGACAGGTTTCGAGCCAATCTCTGGGAGCCGCGCGCGCTGACTCCCAGAACATGTGTCGCCAGGGCACGGAACTTTCACAGGACTCCTTGACCGTTATTTTGTTTTTCTCCGGTGGGTTCCAGAGAACCCATTTAGAAGCAATTGACCCAAAACTCGAAGTTTGAAACAAGGCGGATCCAGTTTGAGACCTTGCATATGATCGCGAGTCAGAGGTTGCAGGGTAGTGAGGCACTTCATTCCTTCCGAATCTATACAGATGGGGAGCGAAAGTTTAAAGGTCTAAGTCTTCTAAGTCACCGGGGGGCTGTGGAGATGTTTCCTCAACGGGTATGCGCCCTTTTGGTTTGCAAC